TTTGAGAAGAGGGGTTGTACACATGAGTACAGATGCCTTTGGAGACCAGAGATGTCAGATCCCCTGGAGCTAGAGTTACAGGCAGTTGTGATCTGCCCAACATGGGTGCTGGGAACTCAACTGAGACCCTCTGCAAGAACTGCATGTGCTTTTAATCACCAAGCCACCTCTCCCAGCCCAAATGTGTTATTGTTTTTATAACGGCATACACGTACACAGTGTGTTTTGATCAGCTTCGCCTCCCATCAAGATAGCTTTCATCTGTCTGCTTACCACTGAAGGGAAGCTGGGTTAGACCTGTGCAAAGTGACACATTCTGGAGCCTCTTCTGCCGTCCAGTTCTTCCACCTCAAATCCTATCCAAGTCCATCCATATTCATCGGAAGAAGAGCAGAGGGTCTCTTCTCCCCAGTAGTGCCATGATAACTGCGAAATAATCTGAGTAGCAGCATTTACTCATAACAAGAATGAAATGCCTGTCTCAAGTCTGTTGAGCTTTGGGCCTTTAATCAGTAGCAATGTGAGTAACTATATCCCTACTCCAGTAACTATCTAAGAATATTTTGATAGGGATCAGAGGAAGCTCTCCTTGTTCCTGAAGCTTCCTGCACCCACATAAACTATTGTGAGAAACTTTACTTTTTTCTGTATTTTGCTCTGTTACCCACTGTGTTATAATAGGGCAACCCTAGATTTAGGAGACTAGAAACAGTAACAGATGATTACATCATTATTTTGTAAGTCTGGCATTTGGATAGGGCTCAGCTAAGTGTAGCAGGCTTTCTCAGACTGCCAGCCCCAAATCATGACACAGAAACTTTTATTAATTATGAATGCTTAGCATTAGCTCTTGTAACTTAATTTAACCTGTTTCTCTTCATCTATGTTTTGCCTCAGGACTCTTTACCTTTCTTTCACTCTGTATGTCCCACTTTCCTGCTCCCTCTGTGTCTGGCCGCCTGGCTGTCTCCCTCTGTTCTCCCTCCTCTCTTCTCTCCAGCCTAGATTCCTCCTCCTACTTATTCTCTCTGCCTGCCAGCCCTCCTATCCTTCTCCTGCCTAGCAATTGGCCATTCAGCTTTTTATTAGACCAATCAGGTGCCTTATGTAGTCAAGGTAAAACAAATGCAATACATCTTTACATCGTTAAACAAATACAGCATAAACAAATGTAACACAGCCTTTCTTAAACAAATATTGTATTCCACAACATCTAAGTAATTCTTCTGCCTCATATGGCATTGGCTAAAGTTTCCAGGGATGTCCAGCTTGTGGCTCAAGTGGGATGGACAACTGAAAATGACTTTAATATACCTACATTTTCCAGAGATGAAAGACTGGAATCAGCTGGGTAACCCTCCCTTTCCATGTGGCGGTCTGGAGGTTTTCCAATGTGTTTCCTCTAATAGGGATTCTGTGCTTCTTAACTATCAGCTCAGGGTGGAAGCTGCAAGTTATCCCAAAGGCCAGGCCCAGACCTGCACAGCTGACTTCTGATGTCAGTCTGTCATAGGCCAGCCAAAATGCAGAGAGTAGATTCCTCCTATCAAAGGAGACCTATCTTGAATCCGTCATGTGTAGTAGTCTTAGAAGAAAAGATGGGTAAGCAAAAAAGGAAGGGGCATCCCTGGGATAAAGAAAGCCAGGGAGAGCCTCCTGAGGCGAAGATTGAAGCTTTGTACTTGTCTAAAAGAAGGAACCAAGCATCCCACCCCACCCCAGACATCTCTGTCTATTCCAAACCTAGCTCAGCCTGGCTGGATCTCAGGTATGACTCCCACTATTTCTAAGTCTAGCCTGTGGTCTAGAACACTCTCTACAGCACCTGACCCTCTGCCAGACCCCTCTACCACTGTCCTTTCACTGTCCTGCCTGTCAGGACCGCCTCCTCCAACAGTGTGCTCACTGTCCACTTTCTGGGCACTTCCTCTGCAGCAGGGGCTGGACTAACTGTTTTCTAGGTGTGGAAACTGAGATCTGCAGGCGAACGAAACACACCCAAGCTCCAGAGGTCACTCAAAAGGCTTTAAACCCTATACTAGACATCTCATGTAATTACCACCATATAACTGAGCTACCCATAGTCTATGCCTGGACCTTACAGGCATCAGCAGGGAGAGGGGAGGCTAGAAACCTTCAGAATGCGGTCAAGAACCCCTCAGAGAGCAGAAAGGGGGAAAAGGAAACCAGTAACCCTAAATCCTTAAAGGAAAGAATGTCAGAAATCTTTGTTACGAAAGTTACAGTGCCAGGCTGTAATCCAGCCACCCGTACGACTAAGGCAGGAAGAGATATGGATCAGCAGTAAAGCACTTCTTTAGCATGCATGTAGGCCCAGGGCTAGTCCCCAACATCACCAAAGAAAAAGTTACAGTCAAGGGGTTTTGTTCATATATGTTACTATGCATCATGGGATGCAGGTTAGCTCAGTGGTGAGGGCAAATCGGCGTATACCATGACTGAACACTGCTTACACAGAGATAAAAAGACCTAAACAGGAGTGAGAACTGCCCGGTTCTTCTGACAGTGTGAAAGCATACTTACCACACCCCACTTAACTGGAAGTTAGGCTCTGACAATTTCAGTTCTGTGGAATGCAGCAGCAAATCCGGAAGTGAAAGGGACCTTTGAAAACCAAAAATAGCTGACAAAGATTGAATCAAAGCCAGGTCCTCAGGGCGCTGCTGGGGCCCGGCTGGACTGTACTGAGCAGAGTACTTCAGAGGTTTGACCTGTGGTCTAGTCAAGGGCCTCAAGAGCAAAGTAGGACAGGTGAAAGTTTCCTGGAGAGAAATGCAAGTAGCGTAGCCATGAAGGACAGACAGACACTGTCCCTCTGCTATGGGAAAGCATTAAAATGCCTCACCGTACAATGACTGGTGCTTTATCAAGCCCACACACACATTACATCATCATATCTCTACACAAGGGTGGGAAGTAGGCAACCACGCGAAAACAAACACTCAGAGGCTTCATGGCTTTGCCATGACCACACAGATGAGTGAGCCTGGAGCCAGGAGTGACCCTGCTCTTATGATGTCCAGCAAAGTTTCTCATGATGTTCCCTATACCATGACTTGACGCTTTCTCCATGCTATCTCCCCCTTTCATAATGGTGATCATGAGTCATCAGGAAAAGATTAGTCTCTGTCTAGCAAACTGTTAAAAAAAAAAAAAGATAGGGAAGTAGTTAATACTTTTTTTACACTAAAAATAGAAGATCAAGTTTGGCATTTGAAATAAAGTTCAGCTTTCCGGTATCAGGTATTTTATAAATTCCCATCATTTGCTTCTTACCCTTAATTGCCACAGCACTAGCGCGGCACTGATGTGTGGATGCAGCTGGGGGCCTCCTGAGCACTTCCGTCTCTAGTCTACTGCCCTGACTCTACTTCTGCACTCACACCCCGTTCTTAACTGGGTCTCTGCCTCCCGTTCTGACCCCTTAAATGTATCCTCCACTCACATCATTGTGAGCAATCCGGCAGGAGAAAAAGCCCAGCTCCCCCACAGCTATGGTAGAGACACGATGATGTAAACCTCAGTCCACTACCCAACTCCCGACACCCTCGTTGGCCCCACCTCGCCATTCCCTGCTCTATACAGGGGCTTCTACAATACCAAGGCTTGTAAGCTTCCCCCATGTGTCTAGTGGCCACTGGCTAAAACACTCTTTATCTAGCCCTTGATTTCAGTACATCTCTAAAGACTTGAGCACATTTTTCATTTGGGCACACTTTCTTGGTGTCCTCATAATATTGCCATGCCTCTCTGCTTGCCCTGCATCAACTCGGACATTCGTGTTATAAGTCCAGGAGGAGAGCAGCTGAAAACGGGGTTGTTGTCTCCTCGAAAGAAGTCTGGAGGTAGATGGATCCAGGGTTGCCATGGTGATGTCACAGCTCTAGGTTAGCATCTCTAACATTTTCCTGGCCCTCTACAAGATGTCTGTAGGACCTCCAAGCTCACATGACAACATCAAGAAAGTATATTAGCTCATAAGGCTGGCACAACAAAGTACCACTGACCAGGTAGCTCCAGCAGTAAGAATGTATCTCAGCCCGAAGGCGAGAAGTCCAGAACCAGGGTGCTGACAGGGCTGGTTTCTTCTGAGGCTTCCCTCCTCATCTTATAGACAATTGTTTCTCTCTCTCTCTCTCTCTCTCTCTCTCTCTCTCTCTCTCTCTCTCTCTCTCTCTCTCTGTGTGTGTGTGTGTGTGTGTGTGTGTGTGTGTGTGTGTGTGTGTGTCTGCCCTCTTCTTGTAAGAATCCAGTTACATTGACCGGGTCCTACCCTAATGGCCTCACTTAACCTAATTGCCTCTTGAACATCCTACTTCCAAATTTAGTCACATTCTGAGGTGCTGCAAGTTGAGACTTAAGTATATGAACTTGGGGGCCACAGGATTCAGCCACAACAAAGATTCTATACGAGCCACCTTCTCTGAGATGTCTTTTCAGGTGAAAGGTCTTCCCTAGAACCTTCCAGTGGACTGGCGGGACAAGACCTAATAACCTGTCCCTTTCCTAGGAAAGCTTCCCCACACTGGGGAATGGGGAAGGGTGTGCTCTGGATCCTGAAAGAACAGTGGGAAGGGTCACAGAGCAAGCTACCAATTGATCTTGCCAGACTATGCCCCACACCAGCAAAGCAGTCTGCTCAACAGGACATGTGCACCTCTCCTGCTAGCTCTCTGAAGCGGAGTCCAGTGCTTCGGCCGAGAGGGCCCCTCATGGCCAGCACAGCGCCTGGTTCAAAGGGAGTGCTCAACCACCTCCTGCTAAAGGAATAAACAAATAGAATTTAATGAACTAGATGAACCTGTTTGCATTATATTTGATCACAGCATTAAATCTTGTTCATATGTTTGGCTTGCATAGTCTGTGGATCAGACCTTTAAATAATTGTAGGGTGCATTACTGATGAAACTGCTATTACCACCAAGTTCTGTGAGCTCTGTCGCCCCCAAATCTGTGTTGCTTCACGAATTTTTGTTGAATGAATAAAAATGGATAAATGAATAATTAAAATATGTTAAGTAATATGAGCTAAGAAGTTACAGTTTCTAGAAAGCACTATCTTCTAGAACTGGCATCTATCTGGCCCGTGCTCACAAAGGTGGGTGCCATAAAGTATGTTTCTATTTGTCATAAAGAATGGTCCAGATGAGTGGTTGGGGATTTAGCTCAGTGGTAGAGCGCTTGCCTAGCAAGCACAAGGCCCTGGTTCGATCCTCAGCTCAAAAAAAAAGAATAGTCAAGAGGACTGTGGCCAATAGGCTTAAGGCTATCATTCATGCTCAGAGCAAGTCAACGAGAAGTAAAGCTACTTGATGTGGCATTTGAGTTTGGCTCAGTGGAGTGACAGGATGTCACAAATACTCAGAGAACTGCTGGGCTCTATCAGCACACCTCGCCTTTGCTCCACAAAACCCACATATTTAATCTTTGGTATTCTACAGAGCAGAGGATGAAAGCACCTCACGAATGAACAGCATTAACTGTGGGGGTAAGTGACTGATTGGATGGTGATTCCCCAAATTCTGATCACCTGCCCCCCATGTTAGAGAGACTCGTGATTTCCAGAAAAGTCATGCTTCTCTCTTTGCATCAAACCATGCAGATAAACGAGGAGCCAGAGAGGCAGAAACTCAGTCACTACAAGTAACCAGGTTCCCAGGGCAGTGTATTTTGGCACCAGGAGACACGCTTTGCAACTGAGAGCTGAGTCTCCTCTCACCCTGTTTCAGACCCAAAGGACTCTTCCTCCCTCGCACAGTTCAAATAATGAGGTTCAATTAAAACATTCAGGTTCAATTAGTGTGTAAGGGCTTCAGAGGCTGTCTCGGGGCAAAATATTTTCTGTGAGTAACTGAAGAGAAACTAGCGCTGTTCTAGACCAGTATGGTAGCATGCAGGGGCAGGAGACAGCTTGGTCTGCAACCAACAACTGTATCGTAGAGGAGCTGGACAAGATGGCACTTGTGTGTATTCGTGCTCTGGCTGTGCCTGTTCCCTGGGCCCCAAGGGCTTTCCTAACAGCCAGGAGAAGGATTGCATGCTAGGGTGCTTTCCTAACACGTTGTGACTCTTTCTTCTTTCTTTAAAGCATTGGTAGCCCAGAATTTTGCTGGGGGAAAAAAAAGAAAAGAAAAAATAACCTGTTACTATAATGATGTTTTTTTTTTATTGTACCAATAAACTAGGTCTTAACACATTCTAAGCACATTAGCCAAACTTATTATAATAAACTATTGTTGAGAGAAAAATATCCTGGCAATGTATGTATCTAGAAATTCTGCCTTTGGGGTTGTTGCCAAAGCATGATAGATTCCCAGTTCCTTATGATGTCCCATTGTTGTGCATGAACTTGCTCCCCTCTGCCTGCTGCCAACATAATCACTAGCTTTCCTTTGATGTTTTCTGCTTTTTTTGTTTTGTCTCTCCCCGCCCCCCACATCTGTCTCTGTCTCTCCCTCTCCCTGTCTGTCTCTGTCTCTCTCTATCTTTCTCTTTCTTGAGACAGGGTCTTATGCAGCCCTGGCTAGTTTCCAAACTCTCTAAGTTGTCAAGAGTGACCTTGAATTCCTAACCCTTCTTCCTCCTGCTGCTAAATGCTGGGATTGCAGGTGTGCACCACCACACAGTGCTTGTCCTCTCCTGTCTATCATGGCTTCGCCTCTCTGGCAAGCTTCATACACTTAAGCACACAGCTATCTGGAATCCCATTACCTGGACTGCTGCTAATTGGCATGCCACAGATCAAAGGCACAGTGACTGATGAGACACCACAAGATCATACAGTGACTTTTGAGCCATTTAGAAAATATTTGAGTGCATTCAGAAAAGTTTAACATTAGTAGCTGAATGGATTCTGTAGATGTTGTTTCCATGTTACCCCAAGTATATTAATAAACTACAAAGAAATACATTCCAATAAATCAAGATGATGTGGACAAGCTGGAATGAAAAATACAACAAAATTAGTGGGTAGAAATTCATGCAACTACTACATACTCTGTCTACTTAACAGAAGAGCCTTGAGTTAGCACTCCCTCTGAGAAAGCCAAGGCAATACTGGCTAGCAACTCAGGGCAAAGTTTGGAGACACTGAAACAGTTGGTCTTATCCAAGGCCATCTGTTTGTTATTGTTTTTTAAATGTCCAAATAAAAAAAGGGAACAGTTTCACTCTGTGCCTAGCTAGTCAGGCAGGGTCTATGGAGGACTGTGTATTGTTATGAAGGCCACATTAGAAAGGGAAAGGAACTAAAGATGTTTCTTTTGGCAACTCCAATGTAATAGCTGTCTTCAAATAGCTGAGGTGTATCAAATGAAAGAAACATTACATTTAACCATGTAGTACCAGAGCCCAGAACTAAATGTCATGATTAGAAATGTCCAAGGAACATGTGTCAGCTCCATAGGAGATAAGACTTTCTACGATGTTTATGGTGATCAAAACATTAGACTTTGGTGAACTTGAGCAGAGGCCAAGACTTGGGCAGAAGACTTCTAGGACACAGTAATTTCTATTCTTGGCCCTGTGGTAGGAGCTGAAATCTTTTATTGTACTATGGCTTCCCCATGGTCCGCCATACATTTTCATGCTCTCTTTTGTAGGTATGATATACTTTACAATGAAAAACCATTGACTGGGTTGTGAGTTAAGTGGTGAACATCACATCATTGTGTGGGTTCAAGGAGAAGCTGGTGGCTCTGGATGTAAGGGTAGAAAGATGATTTCTGGTGCCCACTCATCTTCAAGATCCTGGGACATACACGGGCAATTTTTTGTTTTGTTGCTCTTGTTGTTGTTCAAGGCAGGGTTTCTCTGTGTAGCTCTGGCTGTCCTGGAACTCACTCTGTAGACCAGGCTGGCCTCGAACTCAGAGATCCACCTGCCTCTGCCTCCTGAGTGCTGGGATTAAAGGAGTGAGCCACCACTGCCCAGCTCATGGGCAATTCTTATAGCAAAGCTCTCCTAAAGCATTAAAGCAACAGCCTTTAATTAACTTCATGGGAGGCCTCACTTGTGGCCGGCTCAAAATGAGCACTGCTGGTGTTTACTAGACTATGACCCCGTGTGTCTCCTGCAGCGGCTATCATTTTATAGGCTGTTACACAGGAGAAAGAGATAAACACAGTTTCTGCCCTCTCCAGATGGCAAGTGACACTGATAGTAATAAAAAGAAGAGAATGAGAGCCAGCTATGAACAGTGAATAAATATAAACTAAATAAAAATGTTCATGTAGTGAGCAGGTCAAGGTTTGGGGTATTGTAAGAGTGGGAAACAAATGCCAGGCCTTAGAGAACACAATCTAAATGCGTTCCAACCAGAAGCTCGCCCTCCTTTCCCATTAATTTCCATGGGCTTACTGGAAGAAATGAGCCTTGGAAACGTATAGACTGGCAATCAAACGTTTGGGCAGGGGAATCTTTCTCCAGGGCTGCCAGGAATAAAACAAAGCCAAAATAGCCTGAGTGGCCATTTCCTCCTGCAGATCCTGTTCTGCTATCCTGCTCTTCATGATCTCTCACTACCCTCTCCGCTCTACTGACCTGAACGGGAACTAAGACATCAAAAGGGGAAATGAGAGGCAGGGGTATGTGTGGACTATGATGGATGTGGAATCCCGGAGAGTCCTTGAGTCCCCAAGTCATTGCGAATAAACAGCCAAGCCCTCTGCTCCTTCTAATTTAGCTGTAACTTGGAGCAAAGTTACTTCTGCTTTGGACCCACGTAACCTTTCATCTGGGGATCCCCAATCATGTTACCGACATTAATTCCTCTATCCTTACAATGACCTTAGGTTGATGGGAAAAACAAACCAAACAAGACCTTACAAGCTACCCTAGCCAGTGTGCTAAAATGCAAATAATATCTAGTCCAAGTTTATTTTATAATTTATCTTCACTTTACCGAGGAGTAAACCAAGGTATTATAGGTACAAACACACCAATTTCATATCAGCCTTTCTGTCTTTGATTTAATCAATGTCAATAATGTTTTAGTTTGTTTTTTTTTTTTCCTTCCTGGAATTTATTTATTTGCTCAGAGTCTCATGTACTCTGGACTGGCCTCAGATTCAGTACATAGAGGAAGAAGATTTTGAATTCTTGATCTCCTACTTCTACTCCCAAGTGCTGGGATTATAAGTGTAAGCTGGCACACTGGTTTGTATGGTGCTGGGAATCCAACCTGGAGTTCTATGTATACTAGGTATACTAGGCAAGCACTCGACCAGCTGAGTGCATCCCAGTCCCCTACCCCAGAAAATCCTACCGTGATCACTTCATGGAGAAACTGAAAGAGAGTGATTGACATGTACCACCTGAGGCTAGGCCTCAGAAAATCATGCTTAAGTTCTAAGAAACCCAAGAGCCTAAATTCTGGGGGGAAAATTTTTTTTTTTAAATCATTAGATTTTGAAACAGGTTTAAAACACTGAATCTATTCAAAATTTGTAAAAATTATGTAGTAACTGCTGTCAAGTTTGAGCTCTTGATACCAAAAATAGTGTGTTATCAGGGATGGCAGCAAAAGTAATCATGATCCAGAGTTTAGAAATGCTATTACTCTGTCCTCACCAAGAACAGCAGCAGAGTTCCCTCTTGGCTAGGAGGAGGTGGACACTCGAGGGAAGCTAGTAACGTCTAGTCAGAGAACAGTTAGCAGACACAGAACAGGGACTGCAACCTGGGTCTCTGAAATCCAGTCCAGTGAGGAGACATTTTGGAGGAACGAGGCTTTCTGCCTTCTAGAGGTGGCCAAGAAGTGGGTGAAGCCACGCTCACCAGCACCTCCGCCTACGACAACAGAGAAGAATGGGCATCATTACGCACTCCAGTGAAGGAACAGAGCCTCTGTGGGGGCCTGCAACCTAAGAAAGCACTCTAGGAAGAACAGATATATCCATGACACAGTCGATGGAGTATAAACAGTCACCTATTGCGGGAGCAGACAGGCAGGGATTTTATCATACACGGTCCAGGTAGGTTCAGGGTGTGGAAACCTATAAGGGCATAAATGAGAACGGGAACAATTAAGTAATGAAGCTGGAGGTAGGGAAGGGAGACAATCCAGGAGGGGTTGTTAGAAGAAAAATAGATTTAGGGGAATTTCCTCTTGTGTTTTTTTTTGGGGGGGGGTTGTTTTGTTTGTTTTTGTTTTTGTTGTTTTTGAAGACAAGGTCTCATGTAACCCAGGCTGCCCTCAAACTCCCTATATGGATGCTCGCCTTAAACTCCTCCTGATCCTCCTCTGCCTCCCAAGTGCTGGAATTACAGGCATGTGCCACTCTACCCAACTCTTTTTTTTTTTTTTTCTTTTTCTTTTTAGGGATCAGAGAGGAGCTGTATCTTGATAAGAATGGAATTTTCAGAGTACATGGCTTAGGATGGAACCTCGTCCTGGATGTGGGACAATTACAAACAGGGGTTGGGAGGGGGAGGCAGGCAGGGTGAAGTTGCTCTGAGCAACTGGAAATTCAGGAGTGATTACAAGATAGCTGGACTACCAGGCTATCTCTACGGGTTTCCACGCCCATGCTGTAGAAGGTACATGCTCTCCTCGTTTCAAGAGAATCTTCAACTTGTAAAAGCCTGTATGCAACAGATGCTGAAGGCTGCCATGAGCGCTGAATTCAGTACATAGGTAACTGGGCAGGAAGTCCCTAGCAGTCCCAATCTTCCCCACCCGACCCCTCCCAGATTCCGACACCACAGTTAAGGTCTCCAGAGCACAAATGCCTTACCCAGACCCGTCCAGTCCAGTTTGCTTTATTGAAGCTAAATTCACCTGTTGAACTTCAGGCAGGTGGTTAACTAGATTCTCAGAATAAGAACTCTGTTGAGATCTGCCGTGATATAAACATTTCTCAAGATATCAATTCAGACTCATGCCAAGGACTGAGACCTGTTCATCTCTGTAAATCATGTTAACTCATCCTCTGTGACTCCCAATTAGTTAGAGAAAGAGAAATAGCCACAGAAAATCATTAGTCTAGAGAAGCGAGTAAAAATATCTACAGAAAGAGTCCCCATAACTCCGGCTACTGGTTCTTCTTTAGTGCTGGCTCTAAGTGTGCCCATCTAAACCACAAGGTAAAGGCTGGCAACCTCAAGAGTTTCTGGAGAAACCACTCATTCTGATCACCCTGGTTTCTGAATTAACAATGACTAAGAACTGCATGAATGATATGAAAATCTGAGGAGTCTTATCAGTCTTGAGATCATTTGGTCACCATGTATCCATATGCTGTGTTTACACTGTACTGTTCTCTGTCCTAAGTCATCCACATTGTGTTAACGCGTCAAACATGGCAATGAAATACCTATCCTATATATATATATATCCCCTACACAACAGGATACAGCTAAACAGCTACAGGAGTCCAAAAGAATACTCCGTAAATGTCGTGTTCTGATGAGGCGCTGACAGTGAGTGCTCAAGCAAGGGGACAAAGCCAAGAGCTGAAGGCAAGAGACCTGAAACAGGTTCATTTAGCTCAGTGGTTCTCAACCTTCCTGAGGCTGCAACCCTTTAATACAGTTCCTCAAACTGTGGTGACCCCAACCATAAGATTATTTTCGTTGCTACTTTATAACTGTAATTTTGCTACTGTTATGAATCGAAATGTAAATATTTCTGGAGATAGAGGTTTGTCACAGGGGTCACAAGCCACAGTTTTAGAATCACTGATTTAGCTAAACCCTAGCATTTTGATCTGTTCAACCTAACAGAGAAGACGGTTTCTAGACTGTACAGAAACATTTCTACCCTCAAAGTGCTCATATTGGTAGTCCTCTTAACGGCATTTAAATCTTGTTCACTGTGTTTACTTTCATAGTAAGACTTTCTAACTAGAAGGTGTGGGGAAAGCCTGACCTCAGCAACACTATTATTCCTTCTTTTTTAAACAAGTAAGGCAACCTTAGGCCATACTTAATGAGCTTATCAATGACTCAAGAACCAACCCATTGTTAGCCTCTTGTAGTGGCACACACCTTTAATCCCAGCAATTGGGAGGCAGAGGCAGGCGGATCTCTGTGAGTTTGAGGCCAGCCTGGTCTACATAGTGCGTTCCAAGGCGGCCAGAGGTTACACAGTAAGGCCCTGCCTACAAACAAACAAACAAACAAGAAGCCAGATGTGGTGGTACATTTCTATAATCCCAGCACAGCACAGGATAATTACAAATTCATTGGCCAGCCTGGGGAGGTGCTAACAGGCATGTCCAAAACTAGAAGCCAACCTTTTAACAGCTGATGATAATATTTTCATGTTCTGTGTCGTTCACAGGAAGGAAAAGCTGCGTGCAGTTGATATGCGTTCCATAAAAACTGGTCTTCAATTCCTCCTGTCACCTTCGCCTCCCCCACTTTTCACCACTTTTTTTTTTATTTTCACACACTTAACCTTTACCGATCCCAACTCTGCCTCTCTCTGAAGAGAAACTTGGGCTGGGAACCATTTGGAATGACGGAAACTGATTTCTGATCTCTTATCACTAACTCTTGAACAAAGTTTGTTTCGGACAAATTTGTAATTGCTTAATCAGGAACAAAAGGCAAAGGGGACGGGAGGGGGGGTGGTGTTTGAATGGCAAAGACGTGCACTTTACAATACTTGGATGAGGCCGACCAGGAGGACTAAAATGGGAGACAAGCGAGGAAACGATCCTACCCCCTGGGCTGCGCAGGGAGGAAAGGCCAATGCCGCACGAGCTTCAGAAGCTTCTGGGCTCCCGTCGGTGCGGAAGCGCGCTCCTTCCACGCGTGGTTTCGGGCACACAGCCTCCGAGCCACGGAGGGGCACCGGCACCTTCGGAGCGGAAGCGGCGTCGGCTCGGGACACCGCCCCCTCCCACCCGGCCTGGGGCGGAAGTGACGAGAGCAGCCGCGGAGTCACTTCCTGCTGGGTGGATGAGGAGGAGCCCGAGCTGCCGCGGAGGAGCCCGAGTAGAGACGGACGGCGCCGGAGAGGTGAGGCCGGCGTCGGCGGTCGCGGCCCTCGCGGGCAGGACGGAAGGGGACACGGGTGCGGGCGGCCGTGGGAGCCGCTGCGGCCGGGCGGGAGCGGCGAACCCCCGCCGCAGGCCGGGCGGGTGACCGAGCGCCCTCGGGAGTCACGAACACCTGCAGACGCGCCTGCGGGCTCCGAGGGGCTTGATGGGCATGTCGGGGGCCCGGAGGATCGAGAGAGAGGGCATCCGGCTCGGGCGTCGCCCAGCGCGAGCCCACAGCCGCCAGGCTGCAGGGTGTTCCCGAGCAGGGAAAAGGCCCTGCCACCCGACAGCGCAGTCGAGGAGTTAGTCCAGGACAGCTTCCCGGAGCCTTGGGGAAATCGGTGTTTTCTTCTCCCCCATCATTACGGAAACGGGAGAGGAAGCTTCTGCCCAGCCCTGGTGCCTTGTTACTGTGTATATCCTGTGTGTGCCAGTGTCTGTCTGTTGCCTCCTTCCTTGAGCCATTTATCAGCTCCTTGGTCCCTTGGGTTCTTGTGGACTGAAACTTACTGTTCTCCTTAATTGTATATGTCGGGAAAGAAAATGCAGACCATCTAGAGGAATGCTAGGTTAGATGAAAGTTCCAAGATTAGGAATTTGTCCCACCCCACCCTGGGGCCTCTGAAGCACCTGCGTTTGCTCCAGGCCTGCTCTTGTCGGTGCTGAGGGGCCTGTCGTCCACCCTGCAGAGTGATGAGAGTAAGTCTGTTCGCTCTCCCTCCGTCATTCTCTGCCCATTTGAACCTTCCCTCCTCTTTGCTGAAGGACTGACACAAAGCTGTCTGCTGCTAGGAACAGGAAATTTGTTGAGGAAATATAAATCTGTATGGAATGAATTCAGATCCTGGCAAGATGCTTTCCACCACTGGCCAGGCGATCCCAAGTACCTACCTTATCCTTTTCATTTCCCTCTGAAATATATGCCATTATATTTTTCCCCACGAAGTTTTAGGAGAGTGCTGTTTCTTGCATAGAGTGGCATATTTACAGTCTGTATCTCAGAATATTTTTCGAGGGTGATCGCAGTTTCTGACCGAAGATGTTGTTTTCCATCTCACATAATTCAGTAAATTTTCGGAATCAGAAGTTCCTTCTTGAGTAGGGGGTTGGATTTTTTTCACTCTTTAATTTGGTATATCTGGGTGAACTCGGGCTTGTTACCTTAGCATATGGGCTTGTCTAGTAATAGAAAACAAATTGTTTGGCTTGTTTCACTGTTCTCTTCCCTTTTTTGTTGGAGGGCTGGTCAGAAGGAAGAAGGCAGATACTAAGGACAGTGTTTACACATGTGGTTAACGTCAGGTGGGAGGTAATTATGGCTTTTGAAGCTGACGAGCTGAGGACCATCATTTGATGACTTGAGGTTTAGTAGTTTAGAGGTGACATGTTTGAAAGACCAAAGGCTTTGAAAGAAAAGTAAAGACAAAAAGGGAGGGGGGGATGTTTGTGGAAAAGCTGTGCCAAAAAACCTTAGTTAGATAACTCACAGCATCTCAAAATAATTGCAGGACTTGTTTCTCTCAGCAGGAGGGCGAAAATGAAAGCAGGCTGTAGCATCGTGGAAAAGCCAGAAGGAGGTGGAGGTGAGCAGAAGTTCATCTCTGATGGATCTGGAATGTCCCTTAGTGGTTCCTGTCCCTTAGTGTTCCTGTTCCCACTTGGGCTTAGTTGACAAATGCTAGCCCAGGGCTGACGGCCTCATAACTGTGTAGATCTTGGTAGGATGGTTGTAGGCTTGTTTCCTATGGAGAGAGATTTAACTTGTCCGGCCCACACATCTTCATTGCAAGTTTCAGTGTCTCTTTTTCTGTTAGAGAAATAATTCCACCCTGGGGAAACATTAGTTTATCTTGCTTCTTTGTTATTTAGTAATCTCTGAAAAGGTAATAGATTATTAGGATGCCTAAGTACTGCTGGCCAACTTTTGTTAGATTCAGTGATTGCCACAGGATGAGTAATTCCTCCATCCTTTCCTGTCCTCTTCATGGCTAGCCTAGCTGACTGGAAGGGTGTGTTTGCAAACTGCTCTGGAGATTGTGAGCCGTGGAATGTGGAGGTGGGGTACTGGCATGTTGGTACCCAACTCCTGACTACTTTGATCTTGCTCTCTTCACATTGAAGGGTATCAGTTTCCCGACTGGGCCTACAAAACCGAGTCGTCGCCAGGCTCCCGGCAGATCCAGCTGTGGCACTTCATCCTGGAACTGCTGCAGAAGGAAGAGTTCCGCCATGTCATCGCCTGGCAACAGGGAGAGTATGGGGAGTTCGTCATCAAGGATCCAGATGAAGTGGCCCGCCTCTGGGGCCGCAGGAAGTGCAAACCACAGATGAACTATGACAAGCTGAGCCGGGCCCTCAGGTGAGAGAAAGGATCCCCCAAATTTGTGGTATTAACAAAGTTGGAAGGAAAGTATGCAGTTTTGTGGATGATATCTAAAAAGGTATCAGGTGATAAAAGACTGCACTTAGTGAATAATGTGTCACTTAAAAGAGGTGTTGAATCTGAGTGGCACAAGAGCTGAGGAGGTGTAGGAGGGATTCCACTGTGGCAGGCATTGGCTCCTGACAGCTGATTGTGCTTTGTAGGGGGTAAGAGCACATGGTGACATGGACTAGGGCTCACTTACAATCCAGAGGATTAGTGTAGACTTCCCTTTTCGGAAATGCCTATCATTCCTCTTCTTTGGGCTTTCCTAGAAGAAGTGGGAAAGGTACCGTGAGTACAGGAGGGAGGCTTGCTGATTGCCCCTGAACCCAGGCCTCATGTACCGTATCTGCAGCCTCCATTTGGTCCATAGGTTGCTATGATGTGTCCAAAGAACAGTCGCTATAAGTTCACTCTTCTCTGTCAGTTTTTAAATTTTATAACCCTTTAGACTCCAAAGGGCCAGCAGGTAGTTTATGGCATCTGCTACTTAAGAAGCCAGGCCAAAGCTTCCAGGTAGATGGAAATTCCTGTCTGTCCTCATTCTCAGTAGCCTGAGTGTAAAATCTGTGCAGTGTAGCTGGAGCCTCCCACATCCAATCTCTGCCACATCGAAGGCGAAGTGGCCAGGGTGGCTGCTGTTTCCCGATCCTGCCATTGTCTCACTGGCTACCAGAAAACAGGTTTCCACTCCATGTTTAGTCCTTGCACTTAGGCTCCTGACTAACCCATGAGCTCTCCCAGAAGACTTGTCCGACCCCACCTGGACAAGACAGATAGAAACTAGAAGTTAGTTAGAGTGGAGCAGGAAGGAAGAGGGACCCTAAAGTGAAACTGTAGAGGAATGAGAAGGTGAGTGCTTAGAACTGAGGAAGCTGTTTGACTTAAAAATGTCTGTGTCAAGCTCCAGTCAAAGACCACGGCTGAGTTCAAACTGGATGAGAAAAGTGAGTTCTTAGATCTCCAAGCCCTAGCTCCAGGGCCAAGCTACAAAGGAATGGTGAAGGTTTTTGTAAGCAATGCTTGGAGCCAGAATTGATCTTAGTAATTACCTGAGCATAGCAAATGTTGTACCATGTGTTTTTCTTTTTGTAGATACTATTACAACAAGAGGATCCTTCATAAAACAAAAGGGAAAAGGTTTACTTACAAGTTTAACTTCAACAAGCTGGTGATGCCCAACTACCCTTTCATCAACATTCGCTCAAGTGGTAAGATACAAATACCTAGGATGGAGAGTGGATTTTGAATTTAAAAAGAATTATCAAAAACCCAAATCTGCAACATGACCTGAGTAAGGAGATTTTAGAAACACTGATGTGACATGATCCCTTAGATTACTTCAAGTCCTCCTTACTCATCTGACAGGAGTAATGGGCTATGCATTACTCTAACAGGCTTATTTAGTTTATTTGGGTACTCTCTATGCATTATTTCCAGCCTCCTGGATATTACTAAACTCCTTTTGGGGAATGAGTCCATAGGTTTATGTTGAATTTTAAATTCAAAACTCCATTTTAACACCTTGCCCAATGGCTGTTTCATAGCTGTGAACCTGTTTCTACAAACGTTTCCGATTTTCTATGAAACTACAAGCTCTCCCTTATCAAGTGAATGTCATCAAAACCACAGCGCCCTTGATCATGCTTGCAGTGAAAGGCCAAGTCTGATCTGCACCAGCACTCAGCAGGGTTCCTCAGTGCAAGACTTTGGACTTGACTTAGCCTCCTCTCCTTTGAAGTGCAAGCAGGCTTCCTCCTCTGTGCTGTCTTACAGCATTCATCAGAGCTCACAGCCTTTTGGTCTGCTCCTTGATGAGGATGCATCCACTTCCAAAGTGTTGGATGTAGTTGTCTGAGTTAGAGTTAGGTTAGAGTTTTCTTTTTGCTTTGGGGATTTTTGTTTGTTGGGGGGGAGGGGGGCGCGTGTTAAAGATAATAAATTATCTTCCTGCTCAAGAGTCAGGTTTTTTCTATTTGAAACAGGTCTCACTATGTGGTCAGGCTGGTCTTGAACTTCACTCTTGTCAGCTTAGCCTAGGGCAGTCTTCCTGCCTCATCATCCAAGTTCTAGGATTACAGGTGTCGAGGACCATCTTTGACCAGTTTGATCATTGTTCTTTGTGACATTCTACGCAGAGAGAGAAGAGCAGGACTTTGAATAAAAGTGCTCAGAAGTTGGCAGAAACTTGAAAAATTAGAGGAGGGTGTGGCTGAGAGAATATAATGCTAAGATGATCTGGATATGTAATTACCGCACACAACAAGTTAGGGCAGTTTGAGCTTGACTGCTATCATTGCAGTCCCACCTCTCCAGCAACCGCTCCCTCCTGTCCCTGGGGCATGCATTTGGGGGTGGGGGTTGGAATGCACCTCTAATTACAACCTGTTTTCTTTCCCTGTGCCTAAGGGAGCTGCATTAGGAAATCAGAGCTGTTCTAGCCCCTGGAATCTTGTTTCCTCTCTTTCCTCTCACTCTTGCTTCTTCCCTATGCACTTGTGAAAAGTAGGACTCCAGATGGGCATGCCATCCATTTTGAAGAAATGTGTTGGACTTCATACCCTTGTACTCCGTGTCCAAAAATGTTGATCTTGTTCTTTGATCCATTTTCATCAATTGAAAGCCCAGAAGTTCAACCACTTAGACAACTTGAATAGAATGGCCATCAACCCCTGGGACTACTCTGGTTTTCCAAGGCAAGGGATCACTGGACTCTAACCCCGTAGAAGCTCTGCTCTGCAGACCTAACAGTAGTTAGTGGTCTGGCACACCAGTTATACCAAAAGCTGTTAAACTGGCACTGATCACTAATAGGTTCAAGATGCTAATCAAAAGTTCTGGGGTGGCCATAGCTCAGAAAAGCACTTGCCTAGCTTGTATAAGGCCCTGGGTTCAACTCTCAGTACAAAATAATATTAATCATAATCATCATCCCAGGAAAAGCAAGACAGTAAACCATCCTTTTAGGTTGTTGACTCCTTGGTATAGATAACTCTGAAGAACCAGAGCCATTTGCAGAGGACTTTTACCCACATAGACCAAGTGTTTAAGATTAACATAATGTTGAGAAAGGAAAGTAACATCTGCTTAGTGAAGGTGCTTCTGTGTTTTTGTTTGTTTTGTTTAATGAGTTTCTATGCTTCTAACCTAGTAAAATATATGTCTTTTACAAATGACAAAATTAAATGTGAACACAGCAGGTCAAATACAGAGGTAGGCCCAGTTCTTCATTCAGCTGTTAGAGGCATGCTCTTGTTTTATATATCATGCAGTCTTCCTCTTGGTTAGGATTCATCCATGTGTTAACAGATGTGTTAATCCCTTTAAAAAAAAAAAAAAAAGGAGTATGAGGAAGTTCTTTTCCTCAAGGAACTTAAGAGTTTAGCTGAGAGATAAGAGTCTAGGTTTGTCACTAGGCAGAGCCAGGGGAACCCCACAGAAGAGGAGGAAGGATTGTAGGGGCCAGAGGGGTTGAGGACACCATGAGAAAATGGCCCACAGAATCAACTAAGCAGAGGCTCACAGAAACTGAAGGGACAAACACGGACCCTGTATGGGTCTGAGCTAGGTCCTCTGCATATACCTTATGGTTGTGTAGCTGGGTGTTCTTGTGAGACTTCCAACAGTGGGAGTCGAGGTGTATCTACACTCTGTTGCATGCACCTGGGACCCTTTGCCTCCTACTGACCTGCCGCATCCATCCATGATAATGAGGGTTTATGCCCAGTCTTACTGTATCTTGTTAGGCCATGTTTGGTGGATATCCCTGGGAGGCCTGCTCTTTGTTGTTGTTGTTTTAAATTTATTTATTTATTTTGAGGGGAATAGTCGAGGAGTTGATCTGGAGAGAGGGGAGGTGAGGAAGAGGAACTGGTAGGAGTGGGGAGAGGGAAAACTGAGGTTGGGATATAATGTATGAGAGAAAAATAAAAATTTGAAAAAAAGCTTCTAGGTTTGTGTAGTGGGATGTAGTAAGTGCTCTAGAAAGTAAGTCCCACCATGTAAATCCTGGAGGCCAGAGACTCTGTAGGTGGGTCATGTATGCTGCTGTTCTGGTCTCCTGTTTTTAAGTGAAACTATATGGCCCAATACAAAAACTGTAAATGTGACTATTGCCTTTTCCCTCCATGTTTGTCCTAGTCACTGTTAATAGTTTAAGGTGGAGTTTGGCATGGTGGAGCAAGCCTGTAATCCTAGCACTTGGAAAGTAGAAGGTCAAAGGGTCTGGAGTTCAGGATCACCCTGAGCTGTGTACTGACTTCAGAGATAACCGGGGCCACTCTGAGACCCTTCTCAAAACCCCCAAAGACACTTTAGGGTAGAGTACTCAATATTAGAGTAGTGTTGAAATACTTGTAGAAACCAATCATAGTGATGCACACCTATAATCCCAGCATGTAGAAGGCTGAGGCAGGTGACACTGGCTGCATAGTAAGTGTCTATCTCAAAAAAGTACATCTATATGCAGTATCTTTATATATATAATACATATACATATTATATGTGTGTATAGCATATATAATATGGCCTACATATAAACCATTTTAATTTTTAATTTTTGATTTTTTTTTAATCATTAAAAATTAAGCCAGGCAAGGCTGGAGAGATGGCTCAGCAATTAAGAACACTGAATGAATGCTCTTCCACAGGACCTAGGTTCAACTCCCAGCACCCATTGGCAGCTCACAACTGTAACTCCAGTTCCAAGGGACCTGACACCCATAGCAAAACACCAGTGCACATAAAAAATAAAAATAAATTTAAAAAAATTAAGCCAGGCATAGTGGCTCGTGCTGGTAATCCAAGCACTTTCTGCTTTATACTCTTTTTTTATGTGTGTGTGTGCGCGTGCGTGCGTGCGTGCGTGCGTGCGCGCGCGTGCACTCATGTGTGGTGCTCACGCCTGCCTAAGAAACATTAGAAAGATAAAGAATCACTGGTTAAAAAAAACTCCCAGTAGGTAGGGACAAGGCAGGCTAAACCTGTCTCTCAAATTTGCCTCCCTGCCACCACCCTGGTCTTTAATACTTCTTTTTTTTTTTTTTTTTTTTTTTTTTGGTTTTTCGAGACAGAGTTCTCCTCACTCTGTAGACCAGGTTGGCCTCGAACTCACAGAGATCCACCTGCCTCTGCCTCCTGAGTGCTGGGATTAAAGGCGTGGGCCACTACCGCACGGCTCTTTAATACTTCTTTTGGAAAACTTGAAACCTAACAAAGAATTGAATTCAAAAGAGAGCACTCATATACCCTCCCCCTGATTCTCTGTGGTTAACATCATTGCCACGTGTACTTTATCTTTATTTACAGATACATTTTGCATCTGGAGATTAACATGCAGCTGCCATGGCTTTTCTCCCAGGAATAAGGATGTTCTTTTCTGTAACTGCAATGACATTACCACACCCAGGAAATTTAGTGTTAACTCTAAAAATATAATATGGCCTGTGTGTAAACAGTATTTAAGTTTTTTTTAATTTAAAAATTTAATTTTGATTTTTTTAAACCATTAAAAGTAAGCAGGGCATAGTGGCTCATGCTGATAAACCAAGCCCTTGGAAGGCAGGGGCAGGTGGATCTCTGTTAGTTTGAAGCCAGCCTGGGTTGCCTAGTAGCAAGTTCTAGACCAGCCAGGACTGCATAATGAAATGCTGCCTCAAAAAGCACAAACACAGTTTGCTCTAACAACATATGACTTGCTATGCATGAGTACTATTCCAAAAGCCTCACAAATGTTAACTATTTCTCTAACATTAGGATTGGTCTCGTTACTTCTGACTTACGAAACCTGGGCCAGAAAGTAATTTTTTCAAAACACATGGGTAGGATTAGGGTTGAACCTAGGCAAAGAACTTACCATTTGAATTGTTTTCAAAGGGAGCACCAAGAGCTCCAGTGTGTTATTTCCACTAGTTACAAGATAGAAGGCCCAAGAATCGAGGTTCAGATTTTCTGACTGTTTCATGTGGCTGCTGTGCTCTTCTTTCAAGTAATCATATTGACACTTTTTTAACAGTGGGGTTTGCTTTTCAAACAGAACCTTAGATTTGACACTCAACATATTATACATAAGGGTGGGGGAATCAGCAGCCACCATCCATGTATTGCCCTGGTCTTATCTTCCTTTGTCCCATATAAATACATGTGGAAATAACTCCTTATAGGTGTGCAGTATGTCTTAGTGTGTGTATAAAGACCAAAGTAGACTATTAAAAATAGAAACAAACTGACTTAAGCAAGCATTTCTGACTTGTATAGGAAATAGGACTTTCTAATATTTTTTGTGTGTATATATTTTGCCTATTTGTATGTATTTTTTGTACATCTCGTGTGTCCAGTACCTATTTAGGCCAGAAGAAGGTTTTGGAACTCCTGGAACTGGAGTTACAGATGGTTGTGAGCTGCCATGTGGGTGCTGTGAACCCACCTCAGGTCTTCTGTAGGAGCAGCAGGTGCTCTTTAACCACGGAGCCATTTTTACAGCCCTTAGATAAGACTCTTAATAAGTCAAGAGTCAAAAAATTAAAAGTAATAGACTCTTAGTTGCTGTAATAAACTAAAGAGATCTATTGGCCTGGACCTATCTGGGCTCTACTCGATCATATGCAAGGTCATGTGTCTAATTTTCCTATTTATTACTCTTAATAATTAATCTCAGTTCAAGGGCTTTTAGAACAAGGCCTACAGAAGAAGTGTTTTCTGTTGAACATTTGTTGGTAAATGCTGCTCTGGCAGGTGTCACTCAACCATGGGCACCAAGAAAGCCACAGTCTTCCACGAAGTGGCCTGCTCCAAAGTTATGCCAGAACTGGGAACAGTTCAGACACTATATTTGTGCCCTGTTTTCTCTCCTGGACCACCAAACTTGGACTACCCCACCCCCTTATTTTTATCCCTCTTTTTTCCTTTTAGCTTTCCGTCATGTATAAAGATATCATCATGTTAACAGCCACTGGTACCTCCCAGGAACCTGTAGGGCACCTGAGGCTTCAGGTAGCCGCTTTCTTAGGTCTTATTTGGGGCTTTTAGGGCAAGTTGAGAATTCATGAGCTTCTCAAGTTAATGTGATACAATGATAGTTTCTTCTTAGAGTTTGAAATTTAGCAGTTGAACTTGGTTTTTGTTTTTTGGTTTTTGGGGTTTTTTTTAGCCAACTTAGCCTCAAGTCACAGTAATTTTCCTGCCTTAGTCTCCCCGTACTGGGATTATAATGAGCCGTCACACCTGCCAGCAGTCAGACTTGGGGGAGGAAATAGTAGGTCCAGCCTCCTCCTCAGTACTTAAGGATAACAGAAGTAGATATAATTATATAGAATTCATTGGACTGTAGATATAGAAAGACTGGAATCTCTGAGATAATGGTTGTCTATCAAAAATTATAAAGATAAACCATAAGAACTTACCTTAATAAAAATTGCCTTTTCATCCCAATCTATTTCACTACAGTAGGATCTTGTTCCTGTCCATTTATGTGAGGTAGAGTGTGTGTTTTCAGTGCAACCACATGCATGTGTTTTGTTTGGCTGTGTTGCTACTGGATTTGTTTGCTTTATAAATACAGCTAAAGTTATGATGGTAAGAAAAATTTTACCCGTGAAGCTGAAAATTGAAATGGGGTATATACACACGATAGAGTTGCAAGTCCCATTCATTTGTCCAACTAATGTCTAGTGGGAACCTACTAACTATTAAGCCCTGAAATGTTGGGTTATAGTTTTAACTCAAATATTGAATGGCATTACAGGTAGGAAGGAGGACTGCCTGGACAATAAGGTAAGAGGCCAGAGGAATATGGAAGCCATGCTGAATGGAGAAAGCTAAGCAATATAAGCTTGCCTTTAAAGGCTTAGGCCTCCTCCCTCAGCCTCCTGAGTGCTGAGATTGCAAGACTGTTCCCACCACACCCAGCCTAAACAATAGTTTTGAAAAAGACTCAGACTAGATAGAAGGTTTGTTTCCTGTTGTCACTTAACATTGTGTGCTTAGCTAGTGTAAGGAAAAGTGATGATCGTGAGTGACCAGGTGGCCAACGCAGACCTCTTTCTTTTCTTCCATCACAGGTGTGGTTCCTCAGAGTGCACCACCAGTGCCAACAGCCTCTTCCCGGTTCCATTTCCCACCTCTAGACACGCATTCTCCTACTGGCGATGTGCAGCCAGGGCGCTTCTCTGCCAGCTCCTTGAGTGCTTCTGGTGCCGAGTCAGGTGGTCCCACGGATAGAAAGGTGGAGCCTTCAGACCTCGAAGATGGCTCGGCCTCTGACTGGCACCGGAGCATGGACTTCATGCCCTCTCGAAATACTCTTAGTGGAGGAGGAATTGGCCACCAGAAACGCAAGCCTGACATAATGCTTCCTCTCTTCACTCGGCCAGCAATGTACCCTGATCCCCACAGTCCCTTTGCTCTCTCTCCAGTCCCTGGTCGTGGAGGTGTCCTCAATGTCCCCATCTCACCAGCCCTGTCCCTGACTCCCACCATGTTCTCCTACAGTCCCTCCCCAGGCCTGAGCCCCTTCGCCGGCAGCAGTTGCTTCTCCTTCAACCCAGAGGAAATGAAACACTACCTTCACTCTCAGGCCTGTTCTGTGTTCAACTACCATCTGAGTCCTCGGACTTTTCCCCGCTACCCAGGGCTCATGGTCCCACCGCTGCAGTGCCAAATGCATCCTGAGGAGTCTTCCCAGTTCTCTATCAAACTGCAGCCCCCACCAGCTGGACGGAAGAACCGAGAGAGGGTAGAACACAGTGAGGAGTCCACACGTGGCTCTGCATCAATCAGTGGGCCTGTTCCCTCTCGAATTAAGGTAGAGCCCACCTCTGAGAAGGAGCCCGAGAGCCTCAGGCAGTTGACCCACGAAAAGGAGGAACACTCCCAAGAAGTGGGCACTATGCGGACCAGGACCGGAGAAGAGAGGAAAGGCACAGTGTCTGCCCACCCCTCACCCACCTGGCCCTCTGTATCCATTAGCACCCCCAGTGATGAACCCCTAGAGGGGACTGAAGACAGTGAGGACAGGTCTGGCAAGGAGTCCAGTGCACCTGAGAAGAAAGAAGATGCCCTGATGCCCCCCAAGCTTCGATTGAAGAGGCGGTGGAACGACGGCCCTGAAGCCCGGGAGCTAAGTAAGACCGGCAAGTTCCTCTGGAATGGGGCAGGACCCCAGGGCCTGGCTACAGCGGCCACTGCTGCTGCTGATGCCTAAAACCACAGCGGAAGGGAAGCTGTTCATACTACAGTCAGATCCACGTACACGTATTTATGTAGCAAGATTCTGGGGTGGGAGGCAGGGGTTAAGCTGGTTTGATAACTCTGGGGCATGGACTTGAACTGTTTTGTTGGATGAGATGAATATCTTGTGTTGTAAATTAAGTGGGGTATGAACACACTTTTTTTTCTTGGTGAGTAGGATGTAGGGAGGGTATTGAACTGTGGGGGAAGGAGCCTGTTTCCTGTTTAAGACTCATGCTGCCTGACAAGCTCCATAAGAGCCCACTTTGTAGTCCCGTTACAGTTCAGGACCCATAGTGTTTTCTATTGTATTTATACATACAGAAAGCCAATAGTGGGATATTTCGCTTTGAGAGAGAGAGATAAGAGGAGCAGGCTGGGAGGTTGGGTGGGAAGCAACAATACTAAGCATGCTAGCCTGAGACACTTATTTCAGGAGAGAACAAAGACAGTTGCAGGCTTATTGGAGTGGGGAACAATTAGGTGATGTTCTCTACTCTCCCCTCCCCCTCGCCGGAGCACACATGCTCTCTCCCACACATGCACACACACATTCTCTCCTCTCTTTCTCTCTCTCTCTCTCTCTCTCACACACACACACACACACACACACACACACACACACAAACACACACACACTCGCATTTGGCTTTTCCCCCCTTTTTAGAAAATGTTTTCAAGACACTTGAGTGTACTGCCAGTTATAATGGGCAGGGAGGGCCCAGGACCGACCACCTGGCCCTTCCCTTCAGAGTTGAGGTGGGAAGGAAGTCCTGCTGTAAGCTCCTGGAACTGTCACCTCCTTCACCTATTCAAAAGCCATGAGGAGTTGTAAACTCTTGATCAGGGAAGAAAGAAGGGCAGGAGGAAGGAGCCCAAATGCCTTTAAAAAAAAAAAATGACAGAAATGGTCTTCATTTTTCTTTTTCCATTGTGGGTTTGGGAAACCATGCCAAGTGTGACTGAGCAAGTTTTATGAGGAGCAGGATAGCACCGTTGAAGATATTTTTCTGTTGTGTCTGGTTGTATTACTGTTTCTTAAGTCAAGCCTTAACTATGAACATGCTTTAAGATGATACAGGTCTGTCAACATAAACCTGTAAAGGGCATGGATACTGTTCAGATAACCCAGGAATGTTGAGGCATAGTTGAATTCCTATGATAGTTATTCCCTCTGATGTACCAGGCTGGGTGGAAAGGGCAAGATTGTGAGAATGAAAGGCAGATGATAATTGATAAGCACGGAGTAGCTGGGAACAAGTGTTGTTGAAACTGAAGGAAGAGCTAGGAAGGTGGTGACCAGATGCCTGTTTTCCCAAAGTCACCAGATGCCAAGAGGCCTGGAGAGGGAAAGAGCTGATATCTGCCCTGTGGTGGTGGTGCCATCTTTGTGAGCCCCGATTGCCCAGCTTGTTCTGATCAGTTGACTATTCACAAAATACAGTTCACAGACGGGAGTCCTGTCTGTGGGAAATTCCCTTACAGCAACTTCAAAGAAATTGGAAGATACTGATCTCATGTGAAATGAACTATTAGCCCTAGGGGCAGAGAGCAGCAACAGCCAGCATCCTCTGTGCACACATGTGCTTAGAATGACTCGGGGCAGCGAGGAGAAACCGTTCCATATCTGCTGAGGCAGGGTTGGCATTGGGGTGTCAGTGATTCCTGACTCCACCACCTTAGCCTAGGTGAAAATCCTGTATGCCAAGTAACTCTTGAGTGTTGTCTTTTGATGGTAGGGTGTTTGGTGTTTTTTTAACTGAATTGCATGCACAAAGGAGCTCAGGAGACATTAGCTGACTTGGGATGACTTGAGGCCATCGTTGCTATTGCTTGATGAGTGTCCTGTCACTTGGTCCGGGTTCCATACATGAGTGACTGTCTTTCCCCAGGACTCTGGTGACCCATGCTTTGGTTGGGCCACGAAGGACTCACCACTCCAGCTGCCCTTGGTGGCTGTGTTCGATTAGTTCCCTTCTCTCATCCTGACTTACCTCTGAATCTAAAGCAAGCCCAGCAGCTGGAGGAGGGCTCTCTGCTTGGTGTTGCCCATCAAACCAGGGAGGCCAGCTGGCCACCAGTGTCGGTGTGAACTCAGGAATAGAAATAAGGGGCCTTTAAGACGAGAGGAGGAAAATCATGATGCATACCTGTAACCCCTAAAACCCAAGTGCCAGAATTAATCCCTAGATGCTGCTTCCATTTGAATAAAGTCACTGCTTTTACACTTGAAAAACGTTCAGAAATGTTGAACTCCATGAAAAGTGCTTTGGACTTGTACGAAACCACGCTGTTTGTCTCCTTCGATTGCCATTCCGCCAGTAATCTGTGTGATTGGCACTGCACGTGCTTGGAGTTTGGATCTGGGGAAGGGTCTGTCTACAGAGCAGAACTTGGGCTTGCTCAGGAAGTGGACTGGGAAATGTAGCGATTACTGATACTTCCTGGGGCAAAGGAATGAGAATTTTGTTCTCTTCCCAGCCCCTCCTGGCAGTTCCTGCCTCCAGCCTGGTATGAGACAAGGTGGTTGCCTTCCTTCCGACAGTGGGGAAGGGGGTGAAAGCTGGACCTGCTTCTCCCCCTCGTCTGTTTTTCCTTCTAGATTTTGTTGTGCCAAATGTGTAAAACTTTGCAGGTGTATCTATTGAGATTTCACTAATCAAGAGCTTGTTCATTTAGACAGTTTGCTTTTTTAGCCATAGAAAAAGTAGCAAATTCTCAGGGGCATCAGCCTTGCTGAGCTCGCCTTTTTTTCTGAAGTAAAATAGAGACAGACAGACAGTCCGTCTCCCTAGGTGTCAGGCTGCACTGCATTAAACCCAGCTCAGTAATACAGGGAACCCTAGTGACCCGCAGGCCAAGGAACTTCCAGAAGCATTAAAAAAAAAAAAAGAAAGAAAGAAAGAAAGAAAACAAAGTTATATTCCACTGCCAAGTGGGTGGTCATTTAGCTGTTCGTCCCTTGTTTTTTATTTATTCCACAATTATGTTTGTGCTTTTTCTTGTGTAAACAATAGTGAGGCATATGTTTTTATGTGGCTTTAGAGAAAACTTCAATCTTCAAAGAACTGTTCCAATTAGTTTCTTCTTGGAAAAAGTTATGCGTTAATTTGTTTCAAAATACTTAGGCATTCTTTGAATTATAAACTTGTGATGCAGGGATTTGTGAATGAGACGTTCACATGTGAAGATAAATGACTTCACTAGACATCTGTGTAAGCAGAATAAGATGTGTATATGTACATAAATTATAAGAAACCTGAACACCATTGTGCAGTGCCTTTTAGATGTTCTGCTTTCTAAAGTCTTCAAATTTTTGCATATATATTATATATATGATGTAATGTTATAGAAATATATGTATAATATACATATTTTTTCCAGGGGTATCTGATAGCTCTGTATTTTGTTATGGAAGTTGAAAGAAAAAAAAGTATTTTACCTCAAAAATTAAAGTTAAATTTAAAAACAAAGGGTACTTAAATGTTTGCTGAGTAATGATTTTATTGTTCCTTGCACACTGTGCCAAAGTCTGCAGACTTCCTGCTAGCTCACTTCACTGTACAGGTCCCTTGCAGGGGTCCAGCGGAGTGAGGGGCGGGGTCCTCAACAGTGCTAAAGCTTGTCTGTTTCCTTGAATGACTAAGAGGTAGGGAGAAATCCTGCACACTGTAGCAGCATTTAGCCACATGGTCGCCTGTGGGAAAATGTCAGCCAGACAGATGCATAGTTTGAACATGGTAGTCCTTGCCAGAAGTAAAGTGTGGCTGCTAATGGCTTACAGTTTTTTGTAAGATGATGAAAATGACCTGGGCTTAAATAGTAAATAGCAGTTGGACAGTTTGGGTATAAATAACCAATCATTGAATTTTAAAGTCACTCCAAAATGATGGACACAATAGTGTGTGAATTATAAAATAAACATGGGTTTGTGGTTATGTTTTCTTAGGATTTTTTTTTTTAAGTGCATAGCAAGCCAGTACTAGGGAAACTTAGTAATTCCCAGGAGAGGACAAGAATTACAGAAGGGAATTTTGGTTTCTGAATGTCGTATAACCTGTCAAGGAAAATGACACAGACAGGCAACCTCATTTTGCCCATGGGGGCAGAGACCAAGCGTTAAGTTGTGCTTAAAGGAAAGAGATGTTGTGTGGCAAGAAAGTGTGGGTGAGAAGGCAAACAGACAGGTGGGTCTGAGAGAATCCTCCTGCCAGTGAGGAGCATGGAAGGCCTTGGGCCTGAGGAGCTACCTGCCGATGCACTGTGCTCAAGAGGACAGCCAGTTTAGGCAGGAGCGGATGGTGGCAGGCTTACAGGTCAGGAGGCTGGGAAGGAGTGGGCAGCTGCTCTCTTAAGCCCCCTGGCAGCTGAAAGCAGAGAAACTTGTTTTCGGAACAAGCTGCACAGAGATCCAAATCCGAGGCAGCAGGCCAGCCTAAGCTGACCCTTCAGTGATTAGGACGGGACGGCAAGTACTGGAATCCTGAACGAAGACAGAGCGTCGGTGAGCGGGGAGGGAAGAGAATGAGAGGCCTCAGCCCCTCGTGGCAAGTCAGCCAGGAGGAAACCTTAGGTGGAGTTCCTAATAGTCTTTAGGGTAGTTTGGAAGGTCTCGTCCTGGCCTCTCTATGGTCCTTGGCCGCAGACACAGGCCGATGCTTCAGTGTCAGAGCCAGTGAGACACTTAGCCTATACTGACCTTTCTATAAGGGCTGCCTGTGCCGACTTCGTCCCCAGTTCAGCTGTGACCCTACGCCACAGAGGGGAGCCCTGGGCCTCAGAGAAACTCCTGGGTGCTAGCTGCTGTGCACAGGCCCACCCTGCCTGAGTACCTTCTTGCCCGACTTCTGGCCAAGTGTCTTCTCCAGAATTTTCGGCTCTGGCCCTACCTGCCTGGCCCTTCACAGGCAGGTGAGGAACACATCTATTACAGCCCATGTTTCTACTCAGCCTTTCCCATTCTCACTGCCGGCCTGGTTGGTTGTCTGGCTTCTCTATGAACAGTCAGCAAACCAAGGTCCAACACAAGGTTAATAATTCATCTATCTCCCTGTCTCCAACCCCCAGGACTGGAACCTAAGGATGCTTGACAAAATGCTGATGAACTGACATTTTCCACTGTTGGGATGGAAGACGCAGATGTGCATAGGACTCAAAAACAGGCAAAAGGATGAGGCAGAGAGGGTGCAGGCATGTCATGTCTAGGCTCTAACTTCCAGGCCTTAGAGTAAGGCCCCTATGAAAGTTCAGCCTGTGGCTTCCACTCCAGCGGAGCCTTCTTCCACCTCCAGGCCCTGCCTCTCATCTGCTCCTCTGCCTGTTTCCTGACCCCACTCCTGCATCTGTACCTGTTCCCACCTTCCATGGGACGTGGTGGCTGGATTGATAGCCTCCTCTCCTCCCCCTCCTCCCCTCCCCCTTACATAGTGTGCATGCATGCATGTGTGTGGAAGCCAGAGGTCAATGTCAGGTTTGTTTGGTCACTCTCCAAATTATATTTTGAGGCAGGGTCTCACTGAACCAGTTGACTAGACCATCATGCCAGCAATTCCTGTCTCCCCCTCGCTGGCACTGGCTTGCAGGCACTTTTATATGGGTCTGGGGATCCAAACTCAGGTCCTCGTGCTTGCATAGCATACAATTTGCTGATTAAGCCAACTTGCCACCCCTAGATTTTCATTTGTCCAGATAGAATGTGAGCTAGAAAACTACGAACTGAAGTGTGCCCCCTGCCTAGGGACCTGCAGTTCTGCACTGGCCATTTGCTTTGCTTTCCTCTATGATTTTCTGGTCCACACCCATGTTGCTGCTGTACCAACATGTGCCTGGTCCATCTTCATGCGTCTGCCTTTTGTCCTGCAGAGGGAAGTGGCGGTGCAGGAGACCCCACCCCGGGTTCTCCAACCCTCTGTTCTGCCTTCCTTCCCCTCCTAGGAGCAGGAACTCTCCTGCCTCTGCCAGCCTAACAGCTCAGACACCTTGGGCAGTGTCGAGCTCTGTGGGCCTCCATTTCCCTGTGTTCACAGTGATGCTGAGATCGTAAGCGATGCACAGGCACTCGGCACTCAAACAGAGCAGCCCTGGCCTTACAGTTCCATCCTCTGGAGCTTCGTGCTTTAGGCTTAACACTGCTCAAGAGGAGGTGGATAGCGTCAAGCTTTCTACAGACAGAAATTCACACACACACACACACACACACACACACACACACACACACACACACAGAGTGAAGAGCACACTCACAGTGAAACCTAAAGCCAGTAAAGGTAGGAACCCGAGCCAAGGCTTCTTGGCTCCAGAACTCATACTATCACACATTGCCTGCTACAGACACTTCCTCCCTCCCTTTAGCCAAGAATCAGACAATCAGAATGCGCTGGGCAAGCCAGCCTTGCGTCTTCTTTAGATGTCAGGCCAGGTGTTTCAGGTTGGAGTCGAGACCTTAGCAAGGATGCTGCTGGAATGTTCAGCACCTGCGGAGGTTTCCCTCCGGTCACATAGGCTCCAGAGGCTGGGAGACTTTGGAGGAAGGAAAGAAGGCACATATCAAAGCATTTCCAGAATGCAGAAGAGCAGGCAATCTTACACCTTCACCTACCCACCTCTGCCTACCCCAGGGGAACACTGACGGTCCCATGTTGAAAGGAGGCAGAAGCCCCATCCCCAGCTCTCTCACCCTAGCTCCAGTTGTCTAGGGATTAGGTCAGCAGATAATGGGGTGCACACCAGAAACCCAGGAGATGCCACCCAAAGCACAGAGGTGAAGGTCTAGGACAAACAGCAGGCAGCTGTCCCCATCTCAGTTCTGTCTGTCAGTTCACTAAGCCTGCTCCACCTCCAGCCACGAAGACTGGACCAGTGTGTGTGCAGGCCTCAGGACGGGAACTCACTGGCCTGTCTCCCAAGAGGGTCACAGCAGAGGCTAATCTGGAATCTCTGGCTGTAGAAAGGAGCTATTGTTAGCCCCACTGTGCCAATGAAGAAAACAAAGAGCAGGGAGGCTAAGGGAACTGCCCAAGGTCAACAGTGATCTCCAAGTCCAGGCGTTGCCTTGCTCTACTGACAGCCCTACACACACACACACACACACACACACACACACACACACACACACACACCCTCAAAGCTGCGACTCTTTGGGTTGCCACAGACTTTTCAGTACTGAGACAGGAGCTCTGCTGTTCCCACAATTGGAGGACGTCCCCCTGCCCTCACCCCACCTCAGAAACCACAGCCCTCAAGTCCCTGCTTACACACTGGAAGCCCCCTTGATGGGTGAGTGTCCCTCAGTGCTGGCACCCGCATTGCAGCCCCCACAAGCACCTTTGGATGAGTGGGGCCCAGGGCCTCCTCCCAGTCCCCTGTCTGCCCTCAGAGTCCAGTTCAGGCAGCACTAGCACGTGGGCAGGGCTCTGTATGGTGGATTGTGTTCCCAGGACAGAATGAAAGGAAGAGGTATGGTACAACTAGTTCTCACTACCCAGGCAACCTAGGCTCCAGCCCCTGGTGTGACAAGGTGAGGGACACGGAGGAGCCAGGGAAGGCATCCACCCAGAAGGTAGTTGTTGAGAGTGGGACCCACTGGAAGGAAAGAGGGGAGCTAGTGAGGAGGTCTGGTGGAGGGAGTCTGGACAGGCTGGCGGCTGACACAGGTTGGAGGCAGGGGTGATACTTCAGGAGCCCAAGGAGTAACAGCTGGGGTGGGAGGTGGGCCGCCAGATGAATTTCTAAGAGAGAGGGGGGAAGATAGAGGCAGGCTGAGAGCAGGAGCGCCTGAGTGCCTGCCCGTGGTATTGATCGGCTGGATTACTCAATTTCACTGGTATTGATCAGGTAATTGCTTTATCTCGAGTCTCATTTGGGCTCCACATTCTCTGGCCCCCTCTTCTCTCCCTCTTGTTTTTTTTTTTTTTTTTTTTTTTTTTTCTTGTCAACCTGACACAGGGCTCCTTACCACAGGATTTAGAGTTTGATTAGGCAGCTTTGGGTTGGTATTTGGGCAGAAACGAGGAACGAGGTGGCCGGAGGGATGGACCAGCCGTGCTTGGAGCCTCTGAATTCTTTCCCAAGAAATCCTCCCTGGCCCCAGTCAGTGGAGATGTCTAGCCAGGATACACATCAGGTTCTCAGGGGTCCAGGAAAAGCAACCCAGGAGTGACCCCCGAACTCCAGAGGCCTAGAGCCTCCGTCAACCTCCTTGCTACTCCATCGTGCTGCTCCCATCACTGCCAGCCCTGGGGTACCCCAGTTCTGGCCTACCACAGGCTCTGGACACCCTACCTCTAAACCTCAGTCTGTCTTCCCCCTCTTACTGTGCTTTCAGGGCATCTTAGGTCAGACATGAGTCCAGCTTGCTCCTGATACCCCTCACGTGTGTCCTTATTTCCCGCCTTCGTCCCCCTTTTTCTTGCCTCCCCTTGCAGACCCCAGATGCCCAATCTCCCAGACCTCAAACCCCCAGCACGCTACTGCTAGGGAAGGAGACTAGGATCCCCGGTCTGAGAAAAGAGACACCGTTCCCTGGGGAACTCTTGAGAATAGCAGCCCTGCCCTCTCTAGGCCTCTCCCTCCCCTGCCCACTCTGAGGAAAGAGCCTGGAGCCTTTAGGAGGAACTGGACACAAAAGGCTAAAGACAAGGCCCAAAGGGAGCGGCATTCTGCAAGAGTCAGTTCTCCGCCATCTTCAAAGCGTAGCCCTGATGGCAATGATCCAGGAGAACAGAGCACCACATGTCACCGGCATGGAGAAGGCTGGAGGGGCCAAGGGAACCATGTCCCACCAGTTAGTTCACACTCCAGGTCCTGGCACCCAAGCATTCAGGCCCCAACGCAAGGCCCTGCACCCAGGAGCACATGGCAGCACCACGGGAACAGCTGCCACTTTGTGCTCTTGCAAGTGTCAGCAGTGGCCAGGGGACCAAGACTCTTGCCCTCGAAT